GGCACCTAATCAAAAATTAATCAATGGGGCATCTAAAATGGTCTCCTGCTATAATCAGGTGCTTTGCTTACAGTAATCAGCCCTCAAATATCGTGCTCCTAGGAAGTTTCCCTAGTCTCCTTGCATGATTTCCATCATTATTGCCAATCACTGCTCAGAAATTAGCCAGTTTTGGGGTGCCTGTGTGACTCAGTTAAGTGTCTGACTCTTGGTTTCAGCTCAGATCATGATCTCAGGGTCCTGGGACTAGGCCCCATGTCAAGCTCTGTGCTCAGCGGGGAGTCTGCTTGAGATTCTCTCCCTCTGCCCCCCTCCCCTGCTCACTTGCTAAGATAAAATAATTTTTAAAAGTTAGCTAATTTTTTTTAGTTTTTAAAATAATGTTCACTACACTGCCATCTCCTGATTTTGTTCGATCATATTCTTTCCTATATCATCTCAGTGTTTTATTTCCAAATGTTTTCTTCACCATGCTCAACACGGGCATTATCTTTCATGTCAATCTCACTATATTTTTATATTTATATTTATAATCTAACTATCTATATTTATATTTATAATCTAACAATTATATATGGATTATCTACCATTCTTCACTTTTTTAAAAAAAGATTTTATTTATTTATTTGACAGAGATCACAGGTAGGCAGAGAGGCAGGCAGAGAGAGTGAGGAAGGGAGGCTCCCTGCTGAGCAGAGAGCCCGATGCGGGGCTCGATCCCAGGACCGTGGGATCATGACCCAAGTCAAAGGCAGAGGCTTTAACCCACTGAGCCACCCAGGTGCCCCCATTATTCACTTCTTAAGTCTTTTTCAAGCAATCCAACTCCTGGGATGCCTGGGTGGCTCAGTGGGTTAAGCCTCTCTGCCTTTGCTCAAGTCATGATCTCAGGATCCTGGAACCAAGCCCCGCATCAGGCTCTCTGCTCGGCAGGGAGCCTGCTTCCCCTTTCTCTCTCTCTCTGCCTGCCTCTCTGCCTGCTTGTGATCTCTCTGTCAAATAAATAAACAAAATCTTAAAAAAAAGAAAAAAAATTGTTCAAGCAATCCAACTCCTTTCTCCCTGAGTCATGGCTCTAAGCCCCGCAGTTCAAATTTTCCTCCTGCATTTCTCCAGACGGACAGACCTTCCGTCGTCCCCAGCACAGGATCATTTGCGCGCAGCGCCGCTGAGAGGAGCAAGTGCACATCTGCAAGTCAGCTTTGATGCCTCTCGGCGGAGCTCACACGCACCTTCACGTGCAACGGAATCATCACCGCCCAACTCTTACAAGGCAGAATTCTCTTTTCCTTCTGTCATTTAGAGTTTACTGCTGTCTTTTCTCCCTTATTCCTAATACAGCAAAGAATTTGTTACCACATAACTCAAAGCTCCTTTTCCCTATCACTTTCACATGACTCCATCCTCATGACTCTCTAGATCTCTTATGTCAGTGAATACACGTCACAACTGCCCCCGTGAGGCTACCGACCACGTGAAACGTGGCTAATCTGGGCTGAGATGCGCTAAAGGTAGAAAATACACAGGGATTTCAAAGATAACATGGAGGGAGGGTATAAAATATCTCCTTACATTTTTTTATATTGAGTAATGCTAAAATAGTATTGGATATATTGGGCTAAATAAAATGTATTATTAAAATTAATTTCACCTGTTTATTTCTACCTTTCTAAGATGGCTCTTAATGTTTTAATTACATAAACAGCTTGTTAGACAGCACAACTCTGGGCTCTTCTGTTGATTCACACTTTTAAATCTTTTCTATGAATTCAAAATTCTCTCCTCTTTAATCACTTCTACTAAGACACCTTCCCCAATTATCCTCACTGTCCCCACATTCTAAACCTAGAATTATTTTCAATCTACCACTCTCAATGCCTTTTCTACCCATTATTTCCATACATGGTATTTCTTTTTGCCTGTTAATATAGCTTCTGCCCCCGCAACTGAATCATAATAAAGTTATTTTCTTCATCAGCAGTTATAGTAAGGTGGTGTCTTTCTCAACTCGAAGCAAAAAAAATTTTTAAAAAATAGTATTTCCCAACAAAAGAGCTTCATTCATCATTCTCCAGATTGGCCTATCTTCACTATAATTTCATTTAACAGGGCTAGTAACTGTAAAACACTAAACATATGTCAATTAATAATTTCAGACCCATGTCAGCCATTCACACTAGAACAGCAATTCCTCGTCTGTCATTTTAAAGATAGCATTCTTTCTCCAAACTCTTCTAATGTTGAGGTTTCAGTCTCATCATTCAAGCGAAAACTCTCATTTCACAATAAATAGTTTAATACAATTCCCAAAATAGAGTATTCATTTTCCCACCATTTTCAGCACAGGCCATGTGTCATCACTCCCCAAACTGAATTCATGTCTAACATTTCTGGAATTTCCTCCTCTTTTCTGAACTACTTCATGGGGGAAAATAAATGACGACTGGGCAGGTGGACGTGAGTGGCGTGATAAGGCAGCGTCAGGAGAGTCTATACTGAGAATGATAAGAAGTGGGGGTCACAGATAGATCTCCCAGTCACTATCCTCTTCGAGTGCTTCTTCTGAAATCTCTCCTTCCTGCCCTGTCCCACAAGCCCCACTATAAACCCTTTATGTGTATCTCCTTCCGATATGAGTGATTACCTTCATGCCACCAGCTCTCAGAATTCTTCCCCTGTAAGATCTCCATCCCATCATTCTAGTCTTTACTCCAAGAACAGGTGTCTTCTGATGACTTCCAATATTTCCCTTAGATTATGATCTCTCCTTCATCATTCTCTGTATATAAATTCCAGTTCACTATCACTCCCAGTACAGAAAAACATTTTTTAAATAATTACTCCTAGTGTGGACACTTCCCTGTTTCCTACCCGGACACTGAGTTAGCTCCCTCCCAAGCCTCTCCAAACAGAATTCTTTCACACACACATTTCTGGTCCAGACATGCTGTTCCCTCTTCATCTAGCCCAGGCTAGAAATCCCTTATACTTTTCTTTTCCAACAGACAGACGTCTCCTCTCTCATATTCTCTCTCTGAACAATCAGGGGACAGAGTGAATTTGCTGGTCCTTCCTTTCCTCTATTCTTCCTTCCTCAACATTTCTCTTCTGTTCTTACCCTCTGCTTACTTCTCTCTCTCTCTCTCTCTCTCTCTCTCTATCTCTCTCGCTGTCTGGTTTTACAGCCAATATTCTATTTGCTTCAGAAAAAGAGCCTTCATTTGACAAATGGGTCAAAGTAAACAACGGAGGGCAGCCCGAAAGAGGAGGACAAGTTCTCCCATGGCTTTGGCATATCCTCCCCAGGTCCCTCTTCCCTTGGTTGTCTGCCTTCCTGCTCCCGACCAGCGACCAGCGCAGCTCTTCCTCAGGTGTCCGCGTGTTCCTCCAGCTCCTGTTGCCCCCAGCGCCATCCTGGTCCGCTTGCTCTTTTCTGCCTTAGGACTATTATTCCGAAAATCCTACTGATCCGTTCTTCTTCGGATCGTCCTGTCAGCTGCTTTTCCCCTCCCCTCCGCTCCGCTCTGGGCCCTTTTATCTTGTGGACATTTCCTCCCACCTTCCAGTTGCTGCTAATTTCCTTTTGATCCCCCTTAGGGGGTGCTGCTCAGACTTCAGTCACTGGATCCCCCTGGCCTAACCAGGTACAAAACAACAGCTGAATCCTCAAAGCTGAAACGCCCAAAGCTAAAGGGGAAAAGGAGGGGAAGACAGGCCCTGTAAGCAGCACTTGGGGTCTGGAAGAGCCGTCAGACCATCGGACAATTTCACAGAAGGGCCCAGGAACCTGTCACCAAGGAGCTGTCTTCTCCTGACAAAGCACAAAAGGACTCTTGGATCTCCTTCTTGCCTCTGCTAGAGTCAGCCCCCAGGCCTCCTGGGTCACTTTTACCCGCTAAGCTGATATAAGGAATAGTTAAGCAGATGTGGATTCATCCTGGTGCTAGAGAAGTTCGAGCTTCAGGAGCCCCACGCTTGTATGCAGCCCGTTTTTCTTAAACAGAGCCCACTACATTGTGTACGCTCTGGATCTCACCACACCTGGATCTGCCCCTGGATAGGGGGAAGCTTTTCCAGCAGCGAGAGGTTGAGGATGGATGAGGAAGGTCAGGAGGACTCCGGGTAGCTTGATTCTAAACGGGGTTCAGTTTAATACACCCTGCCTCTATTGAGAGGGCATCTTCCCATGGAGAAGCCAGGATTCCTGCATTATCTCTTGGCAGAATCTCCCCGGTTCCAGAATCTCAGCCAGATTCTCCACTCCAGGTGTCTGTGCCACGCCCAACCCAGCCCCGCCCTTAACTTCCATCTTGACCTCCCAATCAGTCCTGGTGCGGCAGGTGCTAGGCCCCCTGCTCGCTAATGTCCCCTTAGGTCCCCTACTCAGTTCTCCAAGGCTGATCTCTAAATATGACAATTCAGAAATGACCTCTACTACTCAGGCAAAGACAGGTCACCAGCTGGTCACCAACTGGTCACCACGGCTTTAAGACCCTCCCTTTGCCCCTGCACTCCCAGAGCCCATTTGGGGTCAGTCCAGTCTTCTCCGAAGCCAGAACTGCCATCCCCTTACTGAGCTGCCAGCTGCCCCGGTGCCCCCTCACCGTAGGGTCTTCCTAGTGTCTCCAGGAATCCCACGCTTGCAGCTTCTCTCTTCTCCCCAGAGGAGAAAAATGAAGGGATCCTTAAACAGAGAAGTGGGAGCCAAGTCTGGAAGACTAGAATGCAGGGAGGAAAGGTACTGATTTGGAAGGGAGTACTGGGAGGTCTCAGGTGAGGCTTCAGGCACTCTGGACCACCTAGCAGGGCAGCGGCTTCTGGGATCCAGAGGTGCCGCCTTCGGACCAGAACTGGAGGTGGTTCTGCAGAACCCCACCTCTGGGGGGTCTGGGAGGCCAGGGCTCCAGGCAGGTGCTGAGATTCTGAGCAAGCTGCTACCTGGGATTTCCAAGTGAACGAGCCTCCCGCCCGCCCTGCGCCCTGGTCGGCCCAGCACTTACCCGGCAGACTTGGGAAAGTCTCTGAGAAGTGCGGAGGCGGGGGCGGTGGGGGCTCTGCCACTTTCTCCCGGGCGGGCAGCAGCTCGTCGGCTTCCAGCCCACCCTCCGGGCGTCGGCCGCCCGGCTCGGGGTTGTTTCGGGCGGCAGTGGCGGCGGCGGCAGCGGCGAGCTCCTGGGGCCCGTAGAAGGCGTCGGGCGGCTCCGCGAAGCTGGGCAGCGCGGTGGTCAGCGCCACCATCGAGGGCACGGCCTGGCCCAGTCCCGCGCAGAAGGTGTTGGTAAGGCGGCCGGCAAAGGAGGCTAGTGGGGCGAGAGGCGGGAGGCCGGCCGGCAGCGGGGCAGGGGCCAGCGCCTGCGGCAGCACCAGCGGCCGGTAGGGCATGAACATGGGATAGCCGGTGTACAGCAAGTGGCCGGAGCGAGGCGGCGGCGGCCCGATCAGGGAGTCGATGGAGAAGGCAGTGCCCGGGCCCCCAGCACTGCCCCCGCCGCTGCCCCCGGGGGCACCCCCGCCTCCAGCTCTCTGCATCGTGCCCGGAGCTGCGGCCGCCCCGGGGCGCTCCCCTCTGGGCGCCGCCGTGCGCCTCGCGGCTCGGGCGCCCCGCGCGGACACGCAGGGCTCGCTCCCAGGCTCCCGGCCGAGGTGGCGGCGGGGCGCGGGCTCGGCGCAGTGTGGCTCCGGCGCCGCGCTCCCTCTCTCTCATAAGGAGGGAGGGGGCGGGCGAGCGGGCGGGCTGGGGGTGTCGCCCTCCGGACTCATCCATCTTCCTCAAATTACGCTTCACTTCCTCCCTCCGCCCGCCGCTGCCGCGCCCGGCTCCGCTCCTCCGCAGAGCCCGTTCCCAGCGGCCCGGCCGGCCGGCCCGGGACCCCCGCCCGCCCCCCGCGGCCCAACCAACTATTATTAATGGAGATTGATGAGGCCGGACACGCCGCTTTGTGAAAGTTTGCGGCCGACGAGAAGGCGGCGGCAGCTGCTGGGCCGGCGCCCCTCCCTCCCCCCAACCCGCCCCTGCTCAGCCCACCCTGCCCGGGCGTGGACGTGGCGCGGGCCGCGGGGCAAGGAGGGCGCACCGGGCGAGGCGGGACCACGACGCCCCAGGCCCCCGGGCCGCCGTCCTCCGCCGGACCCTGGGCCAGTCCCCGGCGTCCCTCCCCGCCCCCGACGCCCCTTCCCCGGCCGCCCCGGGAGCAAGCCCCAGCCACGCGGGCCGGACAGGACCTCCGCGCCCCCTCGGGTGGCGAGGCGGGAACGGCAGGGGGCGCGCTCTGCCGCGGGGCGCCGCAGCTCAGAGCTCTTGCAGGGGGCCCCTTTCCCCTCGGTAGTTTCTTCCCGACCCCATTCCCCTCTCCCCGGGTCTCTTTTCTCCTGATACTAGCTCTTCCCCTTCCTCCTCGGTCCCTCCTCCCAAGCGCGGCCTCTGTGGGTAATTTCCTCGAGGACCCACACTATGCCAAGTACTTACCATTCCTCTCACCTTTCCCCCATCCCTTACATGCTTTTCCTTCCTCCACTCTCCCCTTTCCTCCCGTCCTTCCTTCCTATCCCTGTTCCTGTTTGATTATTCCTACTTCTCTTTCCCTATCCCCGTTGTCTTACTCTATTTTTTCTCATTTCTCACCTATATCTGTATCTCTTGTCTGTCTGTCTATCTCTGTCTCCCTCCCTCTCTCTCCCTCTCTTCTGCTATTAATTTCCCTGATTGGCTCCCAGGCTCCGGCACCGCTGATGAGCCCTATTCATTCCTGGGCCTGACACTCTCGACCTGCCCTAGCTGATTGCCGGGGGCTGGCCCCAGGAGCGCTGACGAGCCCCAAGGGTCAGCAGCGCTAATTATTCGCTAATTGCAGATGACTCTGCTCACCTCCCCCATTCTCAAACACAGAAATGCAAGCGTCTTTTACCACCCCCACCCCCTGTTCCCGGCGGTATAGTTGTCAGTCTAGAGGCAAAAGTCTCGCGTACTCTTGCTTGATAGGAGGCCCGGGTCAACGGGCAAAAAAAGACTAACGACAGGCAAGTCAACAGGAGTGTGCCCTGAGTTTCAGCACCCAGAGCGCGCCTAGCTAGCTACAATGGAGGTCACCTGGCCGCTGGGAAACTGATTCGGGTGGGGCCGGCGAGAGCCAAGCTAGTTAAAAGTAACAGCAAAGCTGGGCCGGTTCTGGAACATACAGCCTAGACTGGGAAAGTTACTTGGCTCGGGTGAGAAGGGAAACCTGTGCCCAAGGGTCTTGGTTTTTCTGAGCCAAGGCTGAGCGTGCAGGAACGAACTCCGGATCTCAGAGACATATGTCCCAATCAGGAGTGTGGTGATGGCCTAGTGACCACCACTAAAGTCAGGCTGACGATTCCAAAACAGCCTCTGGAAAGACACGGTCACCGGGGTGGGACAGAAAAGGGTGGGATCCTCGAGAAGACGTTTCTTTGGTTATGCTGGACAATTTGCCAGACAGGTAAAAGGAGAAATGGGTGGTTTCCATGAAGTCTTGATCTGTCCTGGGCTGTACGTTAAACTGATGAAACCTCGTAGAGACAAGTCTGCTGGGAGAACGTCTGCCACAGACAACGTAGACGGGCCTCACCTCAGGTCCGGGAACCCTGCCTCACTACTAGGGTTCTAAGATGATCTTTGTACATCCTCAAGATCTTCTTCAGAACCCCTTGTTAAATTAATCAAGCACTTCGTGGTCCCAAGAGGGAAGACCAGTCTTCAAAAGTGTACTGTACTTCAAAAATGAAGGTCAGTACTTGGTTTGATGGCTTTACGGTATGGGATACACAATAGGAGCCTTATGGACTTGATAAATTACGGAAGGAGCTTTGGGTTACAATCCCTGAAATTAAAGCTATATGAGCAGTAACAACAATCAAATAAAGCATGAAGGAAGAGACTTTTTTTTTTTTTTAGAGGAACTGCATTCATTTATTTTTTTGTTTTTGGTATAGGTGATAAAATTACATGGTACAAAATTCCAAAAGCTCAAAAGGGCATATATATTAAACATCTCCCTCCCACCAGTAGCGCCCCCCAATAAAAGGCCACTTTTTTTTTTAAAGATTTTATTTATTTATTTGACAGACAGAGATCACAAGTAGGCAGAGAGGCAGGCAGAGAGAGAGGAGGAAGCAGGCTCCCCGCCGCGCAGAGAGCCCGATGCGGGGCTCGATCCCAGGACCCTGAGACCGTGACCCGAGCTGAAGGCAGAGGCTTAACCCACTGAGCCACCCAGGCGCCCCAAAAGGCCACTTTTATAAGCCTGTGACTCTCTGGTAGGACAGAATGGGTCATGCACTGTCACAGACTCAAGGTTAAAGACCCTCTGGTCTTGAAGATGTATGTCACCCAGCTCAAGCCAAGAGCTCATTGCCCAGAACCAGACTTAGTAAAGTGAAATCCTCTGCTCAAGCTGGCAGAGGGCTCAGCCTTAAAGCTTGTGCCAACAAATCCCAGCAGGCCACCAACTCTGGAAGGAGGCAAGTGAAACCCCAGGGACTTTGTATTGCCCTGGTGTGCCGCATGTCTGTGAGACACTGTATTTTGTAATCCGTTTATGTCCTCGACCTGTCCCCTGCCGTGCTAGGTCATGAAGTGTGACTTCTGCATAGTCCTTGACATTCACTAGCTAACCAGGATAAAAGCCACATACATAGGGGCAGCTGAAGCAGCCCATTCCCCTTCCCTGCCCGTTTGCAGGCTGTGGAACCGAGGCCAAATGGTCAACGGAAAAAAGCATGGGCTGGAGTAACAAGACTTGGAGTTAAGTCCCTGTTCCGAGCCTCACAGAGCCAGGTAACCTTGGCCCCTCTGACTCAGCTCCATCTGTGAGAGCAAGTGATTAGGATCTACTCTGCCTAGCCTAGGAGCCAGGGCAAGGATCAAGCGAACATGAAGAAATGCATTTGGACATCCCTTTCCCTCCTGTACTAAATGGACGAAGGAGAGCACAGTGGTCGGGAAGTCCCTGGACCAGCGGCTCTCCTTCCCTTCCCCATCAGGACCAGGGGAGACCAGGAGACCAGGACCAGGCTGTCACCATCAACTCTGAACACAGCCGGCTCCTCTCTTTCCCAGGAGAAGGCTGTGCTGCTCTAACCGAGCCCCGCCCCCCAGGCCCGCCGCGGGCAAGCTCTCTTCTCACTGTCCACGACAGCCATCTGCTTCTCGGACTGTCCAGGTACTCGAGGATTTCACCTGCTGGGTCAAGGCTTGTAAGAGGAGTTGAACCTACCCTCTTCTGCTTGTCCCTGTATCGGACCTCCCCATCTGGCCTCCCCGTCAGGGTTTGGAAGGCAGCCCCTAGGATACCAGGAACGAAGTATTCTAAAGTCAAAGCCGAAGTATCTGTACCTCCGCCTCACTTATTGGCGGGAGAGAGTCCACTCGCGATGGGCGTCGGGCCCTACCCGCGGATACCCTCTGGTGGCGGCAGCGCGCAACTGCGTCAGCGTGAGCGGAGAGCGGAGCACTGCAGCGCCCCCTGGCGTTAGCCCGGGAGACGAGCGAGGGCACAGGAGCCCGACCAGGTGAACCTTCCTAGGGCGTGCGCCCTGGGCGCCCCTGCTGGATATCAAACAGGGAGCGCGCTGGTTGGGCGGGGGGAATTGTACCCAAGAATCTTAAAGTCTAGTACGCGTGCGTGTAGGTTCATGTATATTCTTCGCGCCCAGTTACTTGAACCCCGTGTATCTGTTGTCTAAATTGCGTGCCGTTTGTGTGTGCGCACGCGTTACACGTGGGTAGGTCGGTGGTGGGGAGGTCCGCGCCTCCAGTGCAGGGCGGAGTCCTCACGGAGGCGTGAAATTGGTTTGGAGCAAACACATTACGGAAAGCAATTACCGGGGAGAGGTTCTGGACCCGCGGGACCCGCAGCCAGGAGGCTGGAGAGGAAGCTCCCCCGCTTGCAAGAGTGTCTGTGGATGTCTAACCCCAGAAAGGACCTGCCTACCACTGCCTGCTAATGGCAGAACGCGTGAAGTTGGGCAGCAGGCCCTCACACTGACCACTCTGCATGGTCTTTCTTCCCTGACTGCTATCCTCCTTAAAAAGGCATCCTTCAGGGGCGCCTGGGTGACAGTTGGTTAAATGTCTGCCTTCAGCTGAGGTCATGATCTCCAGGTCCTGGGATCCAGCCCTGGATCCAGCTCCCTGCTCGGTGGAGAGCCTGCTTCTCCCTCTCCCTCTGCTGCTCGCCCTGCGTGTGCTTGCTCTGTCAAGTGAATAAAATCTTTTTAAGAAAAAAAAAAGGCATCCTTCAAAGGATCCAGTACTCTCAGATATGGTCAGAAATCCTTCTCCCTTCTTAACACTTTGGGAGAGGCAACCGCCTCCTGGGAAGTCTTCCCAGGTCCTTGCCCCCTACATGCCCTCAGCCTCTGCTCCCACAAGTCTTGCATTCACTTCACTGCCCCTTGTAGTTGAACTAGTGATTCACACACTTGTTTTTCGGACTAGATGGGAAATTCACTGAGGGCAGGAACCGGTCTCATTCACAGCTGTAGATCTAGGAGGTGCAAAATGAGTGATGTGGATGGGATTAAGTAAAATTTCCATCAGAGTGCATAAATAACTCTCTCAGGAAAGTCATCCCCTCGAGAGTCAGGATTCTCTTAGAACAGAGCTTTCAGCATCTTTCTCATGCCAACGGTCCCATTTATATCGCCAGACCTGCCCTTGTCTCCGAATTCCAGATTCCTAGATCTAAATGACCCTGAGACATGGCCTCTTTCAGCTCCGACTTCCTATGTCCCAGAGTGACCGTCTCATTCCTCCACCGCCTGTCCCTGGCTCATCTTCTCCGCCTTCGGAATTAGCACCACCGCCCACCCAGTTGCTCAGCCGAAACACAGAGTCATCCGGGATTACTCTCCTTCAGCCCCCACGTCCAGCCCATCAGCATGTCACCTCGAATCTCCAAAGGGGGTCCCAAACTGCTTCCCCATCTCTGGGGTCTCTGGATGTCAGCAGAAGGCCCTAATGGTCTTGGACTCTCCCTGGCCTCTCCCCTAAGCCATTCAGAGAGCTTCTCAAAGCTACATCATTTCATGGCACCCCAAGGCTCGTCCTCATTCCACTCGCGCGCCTGGGCCTCAGGTCAAATGTCACCTCCTCCAAGAGGCGGCTTCCCTGTCCCCCGGTCTCCAGTCGCTCCAAGCACGCTGGTAATCGCCGGGTGAATCCTCGTGGGGCTCAGCACGGAGGCACCTTGCCGCCCGTTTGCTTAGGGTCCCCCGCACTAGAAGGTACTCCGGTGGGGACCGGAGAGCCAGGCCTGTGCGCGCGGCACCTGGCCTCAGGAGCACGTAAGCCCTTGCCTAACAGACGCATGGGCCATGGGCATTCTCCCAGGCCCCCGCCCGACACAAGACGGGCTCTCCTGGGGAGGCCCCCAGCACACACGCACCAGCCCCGCCGAAATCGCTGCCCAGCCCCGGTCCCTCATCCCCTCCACCCTGCGCGCCCGCGCCCGCGCCTGCGCGCTCAGGACCCGCCCGGCGTCGCCACAGCTGAGGGGCCGGGGCTCCGTCTGGCGGTCCGGTCCTCCTGTCGCGCCCCACAGCGCGGGTCAGCCCAGGACCCCTGAGGCCGGGTGGCAGCCCCCGGGCGCACTCACCTCCGCCCCGCTTCTCCCAGCTTCTCTCTCCACGCCTTCCCCGGCCTCGCGCCCTGCCGGCCCCGCCCCTGCCGCCTGCGTCCTTCAGACCCCGCCCACCGCAGCTTCGGTCCTTCCTGAAGTTGGAAGTTGGCGGGAAAGGTGTGAACACCTGCGCGTGCGCCCTCTGGGGCCCTGGGAAACCTGTCCGGCGACCCGTGACGTCACGGATCACAGTGCACTTGATTGGCTGCTCTGCGTCCCCCGTCAACTCCATCTTCCTTCTGACTCCTGCGTGCCGGCCACTTGCGAGGTCTTAAAATCCTGGGGCTGCAAAGGCCCTCAGGGACTCTCTCCTTTCATGTCTTACAGCTGTGAGCAACTTGAGCCAGAGAGGGGAAGAAATTTAAGTGCCATACCGACTGGCAGAGCTGAGACTGGGACCCCTGGCGCGTTAACTCAGCTCAGCTCCTGCCGCCCCAAAGCTAAATCCGAGAGAGGCAGGAACCAGGTGTGCGCCGGCTGCTCCCTGACCTAGACGACAGGCAGTAGCGAGGGGTGTTTGTTCCAAACCTAAGTCTTCCACTCTCACCTGAGCCACGGTGACCCTCCCTGACGGCTGACACCTGCACCCTTTTCACTGGCCGCCTTCTTCTTCACCTCAGCGCCCTGCCCCGAGGCCGCCTTTCCCATCCTGTCCCGCCGTCCGCACTGCCTCATCCCTGCAGCAGCTCTTCTCTACCGAAGTCTGTTTGCTCAACCCTCCCCTGGCTGGTTGTCCGGATGCTGTCTCACCTGGTGGCCCTTGTGTCACATCATGAGCCACTGGGCAAGTCTGCCTGGACTGCTCAACAGCTGGTAGATGCCAGAGGGGGACGAGGACACAGCTGGCACCATGGGACAGATGGCGGGGCATAAGTCTGCCCAACCTGAGTCCCCTGAGTGACCAGCTCAGAGGAAGACCTGCTGGACACAGCACCAAACAACGCAGGCGAGCAGATTTTTTTTTTTTAAGAAATTACCCATATTTTATTTATTTTTATTTTTATTTTTATTTTTATTTTTTTAAGATTTTATTTATTTATTTGACAGAGAGAGATCACAAGTAGACAGAGAGGCAGGCAGAGAGAGAGAGAGAGAGAGAGAGAGAGAGGGAAGCAGGCTCCCTGCCGAGCAGAGAGCCCGATGCGGGACTCGATCCCAGGACCCCGAGATCATGACCTGAGCCGAAGGCAGCGGCTTAACCCACTGAGCCACCCAGGCGCCCCAGGCGAGCAGATTTTTAATGCTCACCAGGATCGGGTAGACCGGAGGGGTGCCTCGGGAGACCACCGACAGGAGTGCATCCCTTGCCACGAGTCCCAGCTGTCTCTCCGTTAGACATTGCCTGGCGGCGTGGTCTGTCTGCGTCTCTCCCCGGTGAGAATGGCGGCTCCAACATGTGCCTGGGAAGCTGGACATCCTGCTGACACAGTCACCTCGGGCCTGAATCAGTTCAACTCAGTCCTGGGTTGGGGGTGCTGTGAGCAGCAGACTGGACCCCCCTGGGGCATCTGCTTTCAGGTCTCCCCAAAGGCAGGGAACATCTGGAAACAGAGGTGTGGATTCAGAGAGGTCCATGGTCCAGGAAGCTGGCTGGTTCTGGCCAAGGCCTTGCCCCAAATTCTTTTCTTGCTTCCGACCCATCCCTCTAGACGGCTGGGGCCACCCACGGAACCCAGGACTTACCTAGTAGAGCACGTCCTCAAAATCCAGCTGCAGGTAGCGGAGCAGGCGGGATGGCAGGGGAAGGCGGGGCAGGGCTTGGGGCAGGTGGGCTGCCAGGTGAGCACGGAGCACACAGCGGCTGAGATGCTGCAGGGATCTGGGCTGTCTCACCAAGGCGAAAAGGGAGGAATAGAAACGGTGGTGCTTCTGGGGACAGAATGAGGGGCTCAGTGAGGCAGCCTTGAACAAATGGCACCCTTTCCTCCTAGAGCGGGGCAGGGGGAGGCTGGTGGCCAGCAGGTGTCTATGGAAGCCTCCAGAAGTCGTGTTTTGGGTGTTCACCCTATGGGTCGTCTTCTGCTGGGACGTAAGTGGGTCTCTGGGTCGTTTCTCTGGGGCAGGGTTGGGGGAACGAACGGAGCTTCCCTGGAGGCAGCGGGAGTCTCTTGGGGCCAGGCAGGCTGAGTGTGTGTGTGTGTTCCGGGTCCTGGAATCTGACCTGCAGTGTTTCAAGAGGCACCAGGCCCATGGCCTCCTCAGGAAGCTGTATGGTACTGTAGGTGTTCATCAGGACCTCAATGGTCCTCGGAGACTCGCACCAGCGCTCCAGTACCTGGAGGAGGCAGAGATAGCACTTCTGGGCTTCCCCCCACACTGCAGGTCCCCAGCTAGTCTGCGCAGAATGGCCAGACGGTGATAGAACGGCTGCTGTGGGTTGAATTGTGCCCCCCCCCGGCAAAATGTTGAAGTCCTAATCCCCAGTACATATAAATATGACCTCAAGACATAGGATTTTGCAGTTGTGATCAAGTTAAAGTGAGGCCATTGGGGAGAGGATTCAGAGAGAAGGGACAAGGCCAGAAGAGGCCTGGTGGGATCGAGTTGGAGCCATTTTCATTCTTTTATTTCTTCATTTAGTAAGTATTTACTGAGGGCCACTATGGGCTGAGCTCTGGGGACCCAGCAATGATGATGACCGACAGGTCCTTGTCAGCTGGGAACTTCTATTCCAGTGGGAGGAAACAGTGTAGACACATCAACAACCACGGATAAGCCGTTACAATGAAAACCAGGTAGGCTTGGGACTGAGTGTGTTGGGAGGGTGCTTAGTCCTGTGGTCTAGAAAAGCCTCGCTGCCCCATCCCATCTACCCAGAGCAGGTCTGGGACTGACTCCTCCTCCATCTCCAAGGCCAGCCCATCCCAAGTCCCCTCCACTCTGGGAAGCCTCCTGTGGTGGTTCAAACTGCATCTCTCTCTCCCCCTACGTTGGGATAATGCCCAGCAGCTTTCCCGCACGTTGCTTAACTTAGAAGAACATGAGCTAACGGGTTGATCGCTAACTCTAGGTTAGGATCCCATCTCAAGGGCTTGATGTGTATGAGCTCAGTTCTCATACTAACCCTACGAAGCAGGTGCACTCTTATGTCCCTGTGTTATGCACAAGGAAACTGAGGCCCCGAGAGATTAAGCAACTTGCCAAGGGTCATGAGGCTTGTGCACCAGGTTCCAGAGCCTGCACTCGTGGTTGTCACTTACTTCCAAGGTATCACACCATAGAATAGTGTCTGGTGGTGGGCAGGGCTGTGCTCCCTCTTACTGTCACCCATGAGGCTCCTGCAGCTTCTCAGCACTGTTCGCTAGAGACTGTGTTACATGCAAGGAACACACATTCAAAGCGTTCCAGTGACTTGCCTATAGTCACAGGAGCAAGCACCAAACCAGACCCTGGCTCTGGGTTTCCTGAGCCCCCAGTGGCTCCTGGAGAGCTGGCTGATCACAGACGACTCCTGGCAGGGAGACGGCACCTCAGCCAAGCGTGGAGCTGCTCCAGATTGTGGGAGACGGAGGCAGACTCCTTCCTGAACTTTTCGATCACCTGGGATGTGGCACCCAGATGAAAGGGAGGAATGGGGCACTTGGCTGTACTGGCCCCCTTGATCCCTAAGGCCAGGCAGATCGGGGCTAGGGGCGGGGAGGCGGGTAGTGGGGTCTCGGGAAACCCTTTCACTGCTCTGCCTCCTCCTCCCACCCTCTTCCCGAAGGGGAAATCATTAGCTGTCAGAGCCACCGTCAGATTACAGGGAATTGCTCGTCTCCTAATTATCTGGTGTTAATAGGAGATTAATTAGTGTTAATTGTTGATTTTCTTGTATTTTCCCAAAGGGGAGACCAATCTGCCGAACTCTCGGGCTGTTTAATTATTTGGTCTTGCTTAGGAATCTAGACAGATGCTTCTAGGTTTGTGAGTGAAGGGGAAAGGCAGGAACAGGAGAGGAGTGTCCAGAACCAGGCAGGGCTGGACGGTTCAAGACCCGAGATGGCCCAGAGGGATCTGCCCACAGCTTGCTGCCCTATATCTGTTCTGACCCAGCTCCTCAGAGAACACGGTTCCCCAACCCACTCCCAGCACCCTCGGCGACATTATGTGGCCCCCTCCAGATATGACGCAGTATGGGACAGGGCCCCCTGCCACAGCATCTAGGAGCACAGGTCTTCAAGTTGAATCTACTTTGGGAATATTTTATGTTAATAAAATAGGATACAGCCGGGAAATTCATGGTGAAAGGCTTTTTCTCTGGTGCCAGGACAGCGGCTGCTGGTCTGGGGGATGCATGTCCTGCTAAGCTCTCTGAAACAAGGACAATGTCTGTCTGCACAAGGTCAGGAGGCTTTGAACCTCATGACCCAGGCTCATCGCTCTGTCCTGGGGGAGCCTCCCCTGTGCACTGAGAGTCTCACTGAACGGATCCCACCGCCAGGCTGAGTTTCCCACGTGCTCCTCTCATCAGCTCACTCCCCTGACGAAGAAAAAACTCCCTGACGCTCACATCAGTCCTGGCTCCTGGCTTTTCAGGTTACGTGATTATCTGCCCTCCTGCCCTGCATCCACCTTCATCACACACGCACACGCTGGTGCATGCACACGCACGTGCATATGCATGTACGCACACATGTGTTTATGCACGTGTGAACACATGTGTGGACACACACACACACACCCCTCCTGCTGGTCTGCATCCTTGCCTTTGCCCCCTGTTGGGCTTTGCTGACGTGATGAATCAAAGAGTGTGAGGCTGCACCTAGAGTGAGCGGGAGCAGGTCCCAGGCTCCCCATCCCCTCACCCCCACGGCCCTCCCTCTGGCCCCAGCCCCATACCTTGGGGAGGGCCCCCGGCCAGATGCGGACGGCACCGTGGTTGAGCAGAGCTCGCACCGTGTGCTCTGGACGCTGGGCCAGGGCTGCAGCTGGGCCCTGCAGAGCACAGTGCAGGGCCGTGTGTCCCCCATAGTCCATGGCGTTGGCGCTGGCACCGCAGCAAAGGAGCAGCTCCACGACGGCGGCGTGGCCACGGCGACAGGCCAGGTGCAGAGGCCGTTGCTTGTCCTGGTCCGCGGCATCAGCCTCAGCTCCAGCTGAAAGCAGCAGACGGCACAGCTGGAGGCAGCGGGCGGTGGTGGCCTCCGAGTTGTCGGGGGACGCACAGCGGATGTCGCAGGCAGCCAGCAGCGGGGTCCAGCCTTCAGCATTACGGGCACCAGGGCACGCCCCCCATCTCAGAAGCAGGTCTGCCAGCTCCACGTGGCCCAGCCGGGCAGCCACATGCAAAGGGGTCTCCTCCTCCTCCTCAGACCGACCATCCACTTTGGCCCCAAACCTCAGGAGCAGTTCGGCACACCTGAGAAGGGCGAGATGGGGGTGGGGAGGGAAACAGAGTCCTCCACTCCTACCAGTCCGAGCAGAGCAAACCCGGAGGGAGTACTTGGGTGACTCCTGCTTCTGTCCCTCCCCTCCCCTTCCATCCCATGGTCACTAGTCATCCCAGCCATGTCCTGGGGCCAGCAAGGCTTCTCTCCAAGCCCGCTTGCCCTCCGCAGGAGTGGTGCCCTAAACTCTTTGTGGGGGTGAGATTCACACAAGCCCTCATGCAGTGAGAACGGGAACCCTTCCGAGGGCTTTACATGAACTAACTTGTTTCTTCCTAGGTCCTGAGGCAGAAACTGAGCCCTGAGGGTGTGAGGACCTGGCCCACGTTTGCACAGCCAGGAAAGAGCGCGGCCGGCATTCGGACCCGGGGCAGCAGGGCGGTTGGAGAGCGGCGCACACTGGGGCTGGTGGAAGAAGGGGGACACGGGACCTGGCCATGCGTGCAGATGGAATTGGGGGCATAGGAAAAAGAACAACAAAACCCAAATTGGCCAGCCAGATTTGCTCCAAGACAGCCCTCCCAGAAGGTCGTGCGTGCCTGTAAGACCGTGTACACGGAAATTCAAGGTGAAGAGAACTTAGCCTCTTGGAGCTAGTGTCCTCATCTGTAGAATAGGGACAATTGCTAATACCTAGACTGAATGAAGTTGTGAGCGGCCCAGGAGAAAATGCCTGAAAAGGCCGTGACAGCGGCCCTTGGCAGGGAGAGAGTGTGATGGATCACGGGGCCATCATATTATCCTGCCCACCTTTCTATAGGCTTAAAGTTATCCATAGTAATTTTAAAAATACTTCTGTTTACTCGGGAAAGGGCAGAATGATTCTCAACCAGGTGCAGTCTCCATATGGCGGGGCTAGAACGTGACCAGAGCCAAAAATGTGGGATTGTGTAGAGCTGTGTTGTCTGATTCGGTGATCACCAGGCACACATGGCTCCTGAGTGCTTGGATTATGACCGTGCCTCATGGAGACATGCCGTGGGTGTAAAACACACACTGATTTCGAAGACTTGGTACAAAAAAAGAGAAAGTAAAAATATCTCATTAGTTCTGTATACTGATTACATGTTGAAGTGACAATGTTTTGGATATACTGGATTAAATAAAAGATATTATTAAAATTAATTTCACAGGGGCGTCTGGTGGCTTAGCGGGTTAAAGCCTCTGCCTTCGGTTCAGGTCATGATCTCAGGGTCCTGGGATCGAGCCCTGCGTCGGGCTCTCTGCCAGCAGGGAGCCTGCTTCCCCCTCTCTCTCTGCCTGCCTGTCTGCCTACTTGTGATCTCTCCCTCTCTGTCAAATAAATAATTAAAATCTTTTTTAAAAAATGAAATTAATTTCACTTGGTTCACAGATATTTGCACACCCATGTTCACAGCAGCACTATTCACGACAGCCAAACTGTGAGAGCAGTCTCAGTGCTCACCAGCAGGTACATGGATAGGATGTAGCATCTTCAGACAATGGGATCTCATTTAGCCTGAAAAAGGGAGGACATCCTGACACCTGCTGCAGCCGGAGTGAGCCCTGAGGACACAGTGCTGAGTACCAGAAGCCATCGCCAAAGGACAAATGCCCTGTAAGTACACTCATACGGGGTACTTAGAATAGTCAAATTCTAGAACCCAGAAGAATGGTGGCTGTCACGGGCTGGAGGGAGAGAGGAATGAGAAGCTGTTGTTTAGTGGGGACAGAATTCCAGGTTGGTTTTTTTGTTTGCTTGTTTTTAAGATTTTGTTTTTTTGAGAGAGAGTGTGAGCACAATAAGCAGGGGGAGGGGGAGAGAAGGGGAGAGGCAGAGGGAGAAGCAGACTCCCCATGGAGCAGGGAGCCCCAGGAGTCCCAAGACCCTGAGATCATGACCTGACTGGAAGACAGACACTTAACCAACTGAGCCAACCAGGTGTCCCTGAATTTCAGTTTTATCGGATTAAAAATGTTCATGAGAAGGATGGTGGTGATGGTCACCTGACAATGTAAACTTGCCTAGTCCCACTGAACTGTGCCCTCAGAAATGGTCAAGGTGGTAAATTTTATGTTACATGTATTTTACCACAATTTAAAAAATTAATTTCATCTTTTTCTGTTTTTTTTTTAAGATTTTATATTTAAAATCATCTCTATACCCAATGTGGGGCTTGAACTCACAAGCCAGAGATCAAGAGTCCCAACTCTACTGACTGAGCCCCATGATTGTTCTTTTATTTTTATAAGGCTACTAGAAAATTTTAAATTACATACGCAGTTCACATTGTGTTTCTATTGCTTCTATTGTGTTTCTATTCTATTCTATAGAGTACATCTTCGACCATAATAAGTCAGTGGAGTCTGCTGAAGGATGATGAGGTTAACAGGAGGTTAAGTAGCTCATGATGGAAGGGATAGAAATTTGGCCCCATTCAGGAGCAAGATGTGAAATTCACTGGGTGTGCGGTCAGTAGAGGGAGCGCCTCTATTGCACGTATAGGTACTTCATGGATTTGCCAAAGCTCCCTTTGCCAGGATTCCACACTCATCAAAAAATTGACTGAGAGGGTGCCTGGGTGGCTCAGTTGGTTAAGCGTCTGCCTTCGGCTCAGGTCATGATTCCAGGGTCCTGGGATTGAGTCCCGTACTGGGCTCCTTGCTCAGCAGGGAGCCTGCCTCTTCCTCTCCCTCTGCCTGCCTCTCTGCCTGCTCATGCCCTCCTCTCTCTCTCTCTCTCTCTCTCTCTCTGTCAAATAAACAGATAAAATCTTTATTTAAAAAGATGGGTCTAGGGGCGCCTGGGTGGCTCAGTGGGTTAAGCCACTGCCTTCGGCTCAGGTCATGATCTCAGGGTCCTGGGATCGAGTCCCGCATCGGGCTCTCTGCTCAGCAGGGAGCCTGCTTCCCTCTCTCTCTCTCTCTCTCTCTCTCTCTCTCTCTGCCTGCCTCTCTGTCTGCTTGTGATCTCTCTGTCAAATAAATAAATAAAATCTTTAAAAAAAAAAAAAAAGATGGGTCTATCAGTTTCCTGTGAGTTTAGTTAGCTGAGCTCCGTCCCTAGGCCCATTTATCTGAGGGTTAGCCACCACTAGGGAAATGCCAAGACCTGCCCACAGGGATCAATGCATGCCTTAACCAGGGGCTGCTTTCCTTTCCAGACTGTCTGGATCACTGCTGGAGAGTCAGCTCCCTGAGGGCAGGCTTCTGTCTCAGTTACTGTTGTACTTAGCACAGGGCCTGGAACACAGGATAGGGTCAGAAAAATGAACACTTTACAGTAGTCCTGCTGCCCACAATGGATCCAGACAACTTCCCAGCCCAGGCTCTGTAGCTGGGTCCCTGCCACGGTCCTTTTACACTCCCGGGGAAGCAGAAACCGTCCCAAGTATGGGCCCTTCCAAAGTTCCAGGGCCAAGGCCAATGGCAGGATGGCTGGGGAGCACCCCCTTCCCGACTCCCAGCCCAGCCGAGCTCAGCCAGCCTGCGCGCCCCAACTGCTTGCTCAGCCCCCTGTGGTCTTGGCTCTGACCCCTCCCTCCGCTGAGAGCAGGATGGGGACGGGGCTGAGGGGTCACTCACTCAAGGGTGCTGGCCCCCTGGCAGAGGTGCAGGGGGAGCTTTCCATCCCGGTCGGGGGTGTTGGGGTCCGCTCCTGCCCCCAGCAGCACGCGGACGCAGGCGGCGTGGCTTGCGGCACAGGCTTCGTGCAGGGCGGTGCGGCCCCCGGGGGCGCTGTCAGGCCGTGCCCGCCGCCTCAGCAGCAGCCGCAGGACTTCCGTGTGGCCCCGGCTGGCAGCCACGTGCAGCGGCGTGGTCAGCTCCTCTTCGTATGTCAGAGACCAGAGTCCTAGGGAGAGAGCGCATGGGGACCTCAGACCCTGCAGGGAGGCCGACAGCCACCAGGCAACAGAGGAGGTGGGCGGAGGCTGGCAAGAGGGAGCCCAGGGCTCCATCGCCAGCCTCCCCTCTCCCACTCAGAATCCCCGGCCTCCTCCCCGCACCCCCACCCCGTGCCCCTGGCCCGTACTCAGAGCGCGGATGTTGTAGCGGAAATCCCTCCATCGCTCTGGGTCGCTGGTATCAAAGATGGAATCCGGGGCCAGGCCAGTGCTGGAATCTGCGAGGATGCGGGAGACCGAGCCCACGTCCCCCGCCAGCACCGCGTGCCAGAAGGCCAGGGCAGGTCCCGAGGCCGTCCGGGTGACGATGGGTCCCGGGGCAGACTCCGGGTTCTCTGCAGACCCTGTGTTGGGCTTCTCCACCAGCCTGGCACAGAGGGCGTGTCTGTCACTGGGGTGTTCTCCCTGCCCCTTGCACTCTTCTGGGGACCAGCTCATGAGGACAGAGTACGTAAGAGCATGTGGGAAGAGGAGTGGGGGAAGCTGGGGTTGGGGGTCAGAGGCAGAGGGAGGGGGGAGGAGGAAGGAAACACGGACAGATGGAGGGAGAGGATCTCTGTGTCCCTGAGCTGAGCCTGACCCGGCCACACAGTTCAGCAGAAGCTATTCTGGGCTCCGCATGACTTCGCTCCCGAGCCAAGGCTTAGGCAAGCCTCTGGGTAGGGGAGAAGTAGCCAGGGGCTTCTCCTTTTCCTCAAACACTTGGTAACTCGGCGTCGCATCGGGTCAGTCCAGGCCCCTGCCCCTTAGCCCTCCGCCCCTGGCAGTCCCTCACCCCTCTGGTGGCTGCTCCAGCGAGGCTCGGCGGCCCGGGACTCCAGCAACAGGTCGGCTGTGCTGTGTGGGGGAAACAGCTCCTGCAACCTCACCAGGTCTCCAGTGTACAGGGCGTTCTGCAAAGCCATGTCACGGCATAGCAGTGGCGACCGCCGGGTCGGTTCCCGGACTGGGCAGGACTGGGACTCCCAGATCCGGCAGGCTGGGGCCGAAGGAAGGCACCCCAGGTGGCCTCCCCAGCGGGGAGGGGAGCTCCTTCTCCCAGGCATGGCCAATCTCTGGGAGAGAGGGGCCGAAGAAGTGGGACTCAGGGCGATGTCGCCGGCCGACTGGGCAGGCAAGCACTGGGCCCGAGGCAGGCAGAGGCCTAGTGTGGGAGGAGCAGGGAGCACACGTAGGCCATGCCATAAATAGCCCGGGCTGGCCGCACTGTCTGTCCCAGGAAGGCGGCCTCAGGCCGGCGTGGGCATTAGGGAAGAGCTGGAAAACAGAGTGAGGCTCGAGCCCTCCAACCCTGAGTCCACCCTGGAGCTGATGGCCCGCAGGATTGAAAAGGGATCGCCCAGGTCGTGGGAGCCAACCTGCAGTTTCACAGGTAAAGGAACACAGAGCCCAGGTGTGGGAAGTGATCTGCCCAAGGTGTGACCACTTGTGGCAGATCCGGGACTAGAACGGGGGTGGCAGATCTCAAGCTGCCATTTCCTTCTCTCTGTTTTCTCTCATGTGCTTTACCCAGCCAGGCTCCGGCGGCCTGGGCTCTGACCCCATGGGGAGGGCCTGTGGGTGCCCAGCGATTTTTCCTGCCCTCCCAAATGCCACTGGTCAACCCTGCACCTTCTGCCTCCCAAACCCAAAGAAAAGGTCCACAGTAGCGGCGAATGGCTAAGAAGGCCCCATTCCACGAGGCTTTCCTTCTAGGTGTTCTCCAGAAGACAGACTTCGGCCTGGGGGAGAGAGGGCTCAGCCCACAAGCAGCCACAGAAACTCCTAGTGCCCACCCCGGGTGCTGACCCCCCCATCTCCCATCCCTACCTGCCAACGTTAGAGGGGTCCCAGTTGGGGAGTGAGGAGGAGGAAGTGGCCCAATCAGGCACATTAGGGTAACGAGACTACTTACATTTGGGGAGATAAGCAGGATAACAAGGAGAAAGAGAACTTAAAACCCGGCCCCCCCACTGGCCCTTGTGCTGGCCACCTACTACACCCTTTCTCTCTAGAACCGTCCTCTACCCCACCCTGCCACTGCCTAAGAGTCCTAACCCTGACACAGTCCTGTAAGGATAATCAAACCCTAGAGTACCAGGGACCTTGGTCCAATCTCTCTTCGCTTTACAAGGAAACTGAGGCCCAGACACAGGAAAGGTCTGTGTGAGATCACACAGGGAGTTAGTGCCGAGGTGCGGTTAACACCAGCGTCTGCTGACTTCCACACTTGCTTTTTTTCTTTTTCCAGACTTACCGTAGACCTTCCTTCTCCCCTCGCTTTTTCCTTCTCTTTCTTTTCCTATTTTTTTTTTCTTTCTTAAAAACCCCAAGGAGGAAGAGAGCTGGGGAGCCAGGACAGGAACGGACAGGAGATGAAGACACCGGTGGGGTCAGAGGACAGGGCTCTGGGGGCCGAGGGTACAGGCTGTGAGTGGGTGAGGACGGAGGGCCAGCAGGGATGGGGCAGGAGGGGGAGTCTGGGCACAGGCAGGGGGCACAGAACAGGTGTGAGAAGCACAGAGATGGACAAAGAGAGCTGCTCCTGAGCTGCGTGGACGTTTATGCCTCTGCCCCAGGCCCTTCACCTGTGGGGCGTGCCCCAGTCCCCTGCCAAGCTCGAGCACCCTGCCTCAACCATCACTTCCTTTTCTTCTTCTCCTTCACCAGCTTGGCTTCCCCAGCGTCCTGGTCCTTGATGAGTTTTACCCTCCTCTTGCCCAGTGGAGTCTTGAAGTACCAGTCCTGATGGGAGGAGGAGGGGGAGAGGGGAGGGCATTGGATCCACCCCCCCACCCCCCACCCTGCTTCTGTTTCCCGAACTTGTCCTCCCCTTTCCACGGCAGCTGGTTCTCCTCTCTTCCCCAGCTCAGGTGTCCTGCTAGGGTCCCGGTTTCCCTTGCTCTCCACCAAATACTTAGGCCATGGGGTCAGCCACTGTCAGGGGGCAAGTCCTCTCTCTGTGGCCATCCTGCCCCCATGGGGCACTGGTGGGTGGTGACTCAGGAGGGGAATGTGGGTGTCCGCTGGTACCAGGACCAACCACAGCTCTTAAAACCCAGGTAGCACTTTTAGGCTCCAGCCCTTGAGGACCCCAGGTAAGCTGGTCCCGCCACACGTCCTTCTCCTGGATTTCTCGTCCCCTTCCCAGCTGGACTCCACGGGGGAATAGAGGGAGGTGTCTAAGGGGGCCGTAGAGGGCTGACTCCCTGGTTAGTGCTGACCCGTTACCCTCCTTCCTGACCTCCCTCCTCCCCCCACACCCCCAAGCCTCACCTTCAGGGACTCCTCCTCCTCCCTGTACACTGGCTCCAGCTTGGCCAGGTGCCCTAAGAACTCTGAGGCCACCAGGGGCCGCTTGGACAGCTGCAGGACCCGCCTCTCGGTCAGCACGGAGTGGATGGCTTGGAGAATGTGACCGGGTGTGTAGCCATCGGACACCTTGGCCAGGGCGCTGATGTCTAGGTTCGGGGTCACCTGGACCCCCTGGGCCTCTATCATCTGCCTCCAGAGCACTGCAGGCGGCGGGGGAGGACCCAAGGCAGGGAGAACCTGCAGTGAGCACCTCAGCCCCTATCAGACATGAGGTCCCTGCGTCCGGAGAGCGGCTCTGTGCTCATCAGTGCCTCCTCTCCCAGGAAGGTGGGAATCATTCTCCCCACGTAACATGAGGAAATGAGACTCAGAGGACTTACGGGACCTGCCATGTCCACAGAGCCAGGCCAGGACCCATGCCGCCAGGCTGCTTGTCTAGTTCCCCTTCCCTGCCATGGGAGGCGCCGTCTCGGAGCGGCAGTGGGGAGGGGGAGAAGCGTGAGGAGGCTCGGGCAGGGCCAGTCCCTGGATCCCCGGTCTGGCCTGTCCTCACATTGCAGGGTCTCACCGAAGCGAGAAGCGTAATCGGGCCGTGGCATGAAGAGGATCCGTTCGTAGGTCCGGCACAGCCCCTTCATCTCCGCCAGCTGCGGCTGGTCACTCGTCCCTATCAGCATCACGCGGTCTCCTGGGCTCAGCAGTCGCAAGGCCTTGGTGAGATCCTTCTTTATTCGCTTTGGGTCCATCTGCTCTGGGGCAGGGTGGGGGCGGGAACATGGTGACTTGTATGGGCTTCTGCATTCTCTCGGAGCGCGTGTCCACACCCAGCCTCCAGTGGACCCCGGGAGGGATCCAGGGAGGTGGCCAGGAGGCCCCCGTCCTGCTTCCAGGATAAGGCCAAGGCAGCAGGAGAACAGGGAATTTGTCCAAGGCCCCACGGCGGGTGAGGTTTGGAGTTGACTTGAGCAAGCCCACGCCAGCCTTGCCCCTGGCTCCGGCTGCTACCCAGGTCCCGCACCTCCTTCTCTTCTTTTGGGACCCTCTTATAGAAATTCTTCTCGGCATTCCCAATCCAGATCACAGAGGGCTGTAAGAGCCGAGCCACCTGCACAGGTCAGAGAATAAAAACCGGACATTGGATGTCCCTGGGCAAGGGTCACCTCCCCCGTCTGGTCCAAGAGCTGACCTTGGAGCTCCGGTCCCCACTTCCCAGGCAGCGTCCACCCCACCTCTCAGCCTGCTGCCATCCACCACACCTCCCTGGGAACAGAGTCGCCCCCCCCCCGCCACATGGGGACCCTGCATATTAAACCTCAGAAAACCTATCATGAAAGAAACTGCTCTGCTCCCCACTTCCCGCCATGCTCCCCCATCCACAAGGTTTCCGAAATCCACAAGGTCCTCCCAATGGCTGGTAAGGAGACCTCAGCAGCTCCTGACATCACACCAAATAGGCAGATGAGGGATCTCCTAAGTGTAAAGCGCACCCTGCCCTGTGGGCACAGCCCGAGAACTAGAGGTGCCGAAGTCAGGGGACCCAGACCTTAAAGACGATATGCACGATCATCTGTGTCCCCGTCTTGCCAGGATATTTGCCCTGCAGGTTGCTGGGGGACAGGTCAAAGAGGTTGGCGCCCGTTTCTGTGCACACGGCCTTGACCAGCATCTTCTTCCCCATTCCAGAGGGGCCCACCAGGAGGATGGAGCGGATGAAGGGGGCCATGGAGTGTATATCTGGGGAGCCTGAGAGAGGAAACAGGGGCCAGAGGCAGGCAGTAGGACAGTAGGGGGCCTGGGGTGGAAGCCACAGTGTAAGGTGAGGCTGAAGGCCCAAGGCAGGGTGGGAGGAAGTTTGGATCCTAGGTGCCTGCCGACCCCCAGTGTGGGGGGGCCCCATTCCCAGGCAGGCAGGCAGGCAGAGAGAGGCAGCCCAGAGGGCTTCCGGGGACTTCCCAGGTACAATTATGAAGAGTTCTCTGCAGGGTCAAGAGGGAGCCTTCTAGCCCCTTCCAATGCCCTTTCTGTTTTCTGTACCATCTCTTTCTACTTCTGGATCATGAAGGGATGGAATTAAAGAGCCTAGGAACAACCACTTCAGAAAGATCCTGGTCTTCTGGGAAGGGGACAGACTATGGGATATCACTTGGGGTTGGGAAAGGGGCCAGAAAAGTGGATTCCTTGGTAGGCCAAGAGTCCACATGATTTCTGGGGTGGCCCAA